AGCAGGAGGTGTGCTCTAGGAGTCAGAGAGAGTGAGTCTCTGCTGGGCTTTGCACTCTATCCACTTGCTGTTGTGAAGGAAATTTTCCTTGGGTTTTTTATTAATATTTTTTTGACCTGACTGGACAAAATTTTTATTACACCAGTGAAATTTCCAAGTTGTTTCGTGCTTTGAAGAATTTTAAGAACTCCTGCCGACGCTTTTCCTGAGGGAAGCCATGCCCTACCACAGAGTCCTTCGCCTGGTCCTGCTAACACTGTGCGGCATCCTGGTCCCTGCTGTGCTGGCAGGTAAGGAGCTTTGTTTGCCTTTCAAGCCTGAAAGCATGGGACATCTGTTACTAACCTGCCTCTCCTCTCCCTCCCCTACAAATGCCCACAAGTATTTATTGAATTATAACTGCTTAATGGAAACTAGCTTTGGAATTGGTGACTGGTGGTGTGTTGTCTGTACCAGAGACCAAGCTTCTGTTGGGACAAGTGGAGAAAATGTGTTGTGACTTTTCCCAGGCAGAACAGCAGCAGCACCTATGTGAGCGTTTGTGGCAGTAGGTCGGTAGACAGATCAGTCAGAAGTCGGTGAAGTGCTCTTGGCAGCTGGTGGGACAAGGCTCTCTTAGCTTTTAGTATTAGGAAGAAGCTACAATAGTGAAAAGAAGCATTTTTCTCTGGCTAAAGCATGTGTGCCAGCTTGTGGTTCCTTCTGTGCTTTCTGCTACAGCAGTGCACTCCACACCAGCTGCTGTAAGCAGGGAGCTGAAAGCCTCGATAGAAAGGTTTTGGTCGGGCAGAAGCTGAGGTGCGCATCTAACCTGAGTTTGTCTAGAGCTGGGTGCACCAAGGCAGGCGGCAGCGCTGGGACAAGTTACGTGGCTCCGACCAGGTTCAGTGAGGTGATGGGAACAGGAATAGGGGAGCACACCTAGTGTGTGAGGTGCTGGTTTTTAAGGAGGTGGCTGGTAATCTGAGTCTTACCTGCTCCTGCCTTGAGCAAAGCTGTGCTGGCCGAGGGGAGCCGCAGGCACGGTTGAAGGCCGGCTGCTCCGAGGTGGGTTTTGTGAGAGAGGGAAGCGCGGTTTCCAGACTGACTCCGTAGATGGGCTCTGAGTACACGAGTGGCAGCTCCTGTAGGGAACCGCTTCGCTCACAGCCTCTTTCTGTCGGCAGAGGCGAGACTGGAGCGATGGCTTGGGCCAAGGTGACAGGCGAGAGCACAGCGCTTGTTTTCCTGAATTCCTGTCCTGCCTTCCAAGTCCCAGAGGAAGGTGAGATTGTGGTTCCCTTCCAGTTTGTTTTGAGCATCTTGCCTGGCGGGGGGAGATCCTGGCCAGCCATCTAGCAGCAGATGAAATGACCTTTTTTTTAAAGCAACTTTCATATAGGTAGAGGAATTCATCACTTTGCCTAGCTGGAACCTCTGTGGGTGCAAGAGCAGAAATACTGTAGCTAGTATTTTCCCCCACAGATCCTCCCTTTGTAGGACACCTTCGTGATTGGAAACCTTTAAAGTAACTAAGAAATCAGCACTAAAAAGTGGATGTTTTCCTTCTGAGCTTTGAATTTTTTTTTTTTTAATTTATTTTTTTATAGTGGAACATTAATTGCTTAAGCACAGTTTCAGTTTGTAGCTTGCTCATGCTCCCAGAAGCAGTGGCAACGCCCTTCCCCAAACTAAGGTAAGGTCTTAACTGCTAACAGTATTTCACTCTGCAAAAAGTGATTAATTTCCAGTGAAAATTTAATCTACTTCATCTCTGGGCTAGGATTTCTTTTACACTATTATAAGCTTCCAAACCCTGGTGCATGTTTGCTCTGCCCCCTGCCTTCCCAGCTTTCCTGTGTCCTTGCTCTCAGCTCAGCATCGCAGCTGTGGTTTGTACCTGTTGCCTCCCTCTGTCCCTTTGCTCCTGTGAAACGCTCCCAAGTTCACTTGATTCCTGTCCTGGGTGAGTTGTGCTCGTGCAGCGAGGCCGGCAGCTCTTGAAAGAATTTCGTACTAGTGAACACAACGTGCGGATCCAGGGGAGTCGGGGAGACTCCGCACTTTCTTTCTCTGTGGCATTTTAGGGGCTTGAGGCCTCCGAGACGTTTGTTGTTCCCTCCTACCTCAAAGGAGGATGTGAGGGAACCAATCTTGTACGGTGAGCTGTCCCAGTGGCAGAACAATTTTCTGCTGCCTTGGGGAGGGCACTTGTAGTTAGTGTACAGTGGAATTTTTTCTGCATTTCACCCCATTAGAAAAGGAAATTTCCTGCCTTGTGCAGACAAAGAAGGGAAGGGCACACAGACAGCGCTCCCGTCTCCATGCATACACATGCAGCCCTGCCTTTCTGTAAACAAGTTTATTTAACATTCATCAGAACCGCAGCTCTCCGTGCTGCTCCACACTGGAGCTGCCGGCACTCGCGCATCACAGGCTGCCCTTTGTGCTCCCGATGAAGGCCTCTTTTCATCCCTGCCCTGGCCCTGTGCCCGCTGTGGCTACCTGAGGCTGGACAGCCCGTTGCTGGCCTCAGAGTTCACCCAGCCACTGCCCTCCCTTCTCAGCACCTCCTGCTTCCCGCAGCAGAGCCCTGCACAGCTGGCAGAAGCGGGGTCTGCCTTGAAGAGGGCCGCGGCTGGTGCTGGGCTTGTAGACCCAAGGTCTTCTCTTCCTCCGTTGGGTTTAATTTTATCACAGCAGGGACTCAGAGTTATCTAGTTAAGTACCAAGAGCCTCAGGTGAGTGCTCAGGAGTTCAGCAAGATGGGAAGGGTCTCACCGGCCACTGAGATTCCCATCTGGGTATAGCAGTCAGCGCTTTTGGGGTGCTGGTGGGTTGTGTACCTCTATCTGGCTTCTTGCCCAGCCCGTCTGGCTTCCTGGATGGCATGGTCAGGGCTCTGCCTCTGGGCAAAGTGTGAATTTCTTCTCTGAGTGACTTAGCTCTTTCTAATATTCAGTTTGTCAAAAACGGGGAAACAACCAACTGATTCTTTGACCCTCTTTGTCCCCATCGTTTAGGTGCAACAGGAAACAGAGCCAGTTCAAGGACTTTCTGCACACCCAAATCTTCTCACTTCGGCTTTCTCCAAACCCAAGTCACACGTAGACCTAGAGCACAATCCTAGAGGATTGTGAAGAGCTGACTCTTTTCTTTTTTTTTTTTTTTTTCTATCAGCAAAACCAATTTCAATTCATAGAATGAATTCAGTGCTCCAAGGGAAGTGGAAGTTAGTGAAAAGCCTTTGCAAGGCCTTGGCTTCAGAATCACTTGTATGTATTTGCTATCTAAACTCCAATGTGGATTTATGAATTCCTTTGTTTTGAGCTAATGTGGAAATACATTATAGAGCAGTAGCACATCAGAATGCCTATAGGGGAGGACAAGACCTTGTCCAAGAACATCTCTCTGTAACAATTTGTGTGTCTTCGTTCTCAGCAATAGGAGAAGAAAATATTCGAAAGGTTTTTTTTGAAGTTCAAATACTAGAATGTGAGTTAATAGGTTTTGTCATTAAAATTTCTTTAAAAGATGCTGCTGTTACAACAGAACTGTCCCAGACTTACACCAGATCTTTGTTAGACTGTTGCTCAACCTTGCTCTGCATGGACGTTCCTTACAAATTACCGACACTATGGTCAGCTCCCCGACTAGGGCTACTGGGTTGGAGGTAGAACGTGCACTCCACAGAAAGCAGAAGGTCACATTTCCCCCTCCTTGTAAAGGACGTAATGTGAAGACACTAAAACTTGTGGAATAAAAGCCCCATGTTCTGAAAAGGATGTGAGCAGTGGAGTTGGGTGCCACTAAGTTGATCTGTGAGCTGTTGTGGCTGAAGCTGTGCGCAGTGCTCGAGTTGCAGCGGGTGCCCTTGCTTCTTTGCCAGGACCACCGAGCATCTGTGTCCTATTGAGTCACTCACTCCTGACACTGTAAGCGTAAACCTGTCCCCCAGGGGAGGAGGAGAGTCTCATTGTCATCTCCTGTTGACAGGCTGTGAGAATGAGGAGATGATGAAACCAGCTTGTGTGAGGAAGTCTTGGTCGCTGGTGGCTGATCTCCAGGGATGAAGATGTTAGGTGGCCACATCTTCCTGTCTTGATGTTTTGCAGAGTCCGCATGTGGGGGAGGTTCTGGTTGTTTGGGGGTATTTTGAAGGATCCTTCAGTTTCCATCAGACTCAAGAACTATCACTTATGGAGAACTTTCCAGTCTTTGAGCCACTGAGTACCTGATGTATGGGTTACCAGATCACCAAGCATGGAAAGAGAGCTGCCTTTGGCATTGTCCCTTCTAGATCTTGCTGAAGTCCTGATGGGCCCCTGCATCATTCAGAAAACTCGGGATGTGTTGTTTCATAGTATAGAAACTTTAATATTTTCTTCCCTTTTCCTGGCCTCAGTTGTAAGTAACTCGGAGAGAGGAAGGATGTGCAGCGCAGAATAGGTGTTTCCCTGAAACAAGGCAATTTTTAGTGTCAGCATGTGGGAGGGAAGAGGTGCCATCTTCCACCCGGACTGAAATACTTCTAGTCCATTTTTATCAGGTTCTATCTTTGCCCTGTAAAACCCCAATAATATTATTTCAAGTCTGAAGTGCTCCCAAGCTCTTTTTTTACCAAGGGGATGTCGCTGGTAGCCTGTGATGCAAGGTTTGCCCCCAGCCTGTGCTGTAGTGCTGGGACAGGATTATTGCTGGGGGAGAGAGCTCATTTCTGCCCGGGGGTCAAGGTTTGTCTGCCTTCAGAGGCATGAAGCCTTGGCAGCGCTGGAGTTCCTGTATGCTTGATAGCCCCTTTGGTGTGCCCCGGGGCTGCCCCTGCTGAGTCACTCCAGGGCCAACAAACCACATGGGCACACTGAGTGGGTTTTCTAGAGATAGGACTGGTCCTAAGACTGGTTTTAAACATCTGATCTTGAGAGGGATGTGTTTTGGGCATGTTTCTAGGTAGTTCTTTACTTCTACAAGGTTCTCTGGGTGAGCAGGAAAGCCACATGCTACTTTGCTTTTGACAGTTGGGTTCCAACCCTCAATTACACCCTCTTGCTTGAGACTGTGATGCATTTGGGTTTCTTGCACACGTGAAAAATGCTGTGCCCTGTCCCAAGGCCACGGAGAGCCCTTGTAACTTGTCTTTTTCCCCTGGAGGGCTGTCACCGAGTGTGAAGTTGGCACTTGGAGGTGTTTGTTGAGGCACACAGACCGTGTCCTCCTCATCATGGTCAGGATGATAGTAAGTGTGCAGGTGGGCAGGCCTGGCCGCTCTGGTGCTGCTTCTCTTGTAGATCCTATGTAGAGTCCTGGTCTCCTGCTCATGCACAGAGAAACTGAGCCCAGGAGGGAGAAGGACTTGGGGTGGTCACACAAAATGGGAGCAGAGCACAGAACCAGACCTTCTGAGTTGGGTCCCATGCCTGTACTTAGAGCCTGTTTGCTCAGAGTATCCAACAGGAGACTCTTGTCTCACTTGGAGACATGCGAGACCTTACTAACAGTGTATATGTGTGTTAGGCTTTGGCACCTAACACGAGCTCTGTCCTTCCCCCTCGCCTTTCTTTTACCCAAGGACTGAAACGAGACTGTGGCCCTTAACGCTGCTCCGTTAGAGATGTGCAGCGTGGCTCACGCTCACTGGGACTATTGGGGTACTGTGGAGGGGAGCAGGCCTGACTTCTCCAGCTGTTAAAGAAACCTACTGGATGTGTGGGGACAGTTGGGTGGGGTGGTCGGGCTTCTCAAACAGGCGAGTCCGTAGGCATGTGAGGGCATGAGCTGTTAGTTTAGGAGGGAAAATCAAAGGTGAATCTTGGAAAGAAAAGTGCTGGTTACACACAGACGCTCTCCCAGGCAGCAGCAGTTTGCCTGGTGCAGACCTGCCTGTGGGCAGCTTTCTCTGGGTGCTTGTGTCTGGTTTTGTGCCCCCTCCCACCCCGTGTGCCTGCTGCAGGACTCTTGGCAGCTGTTTGGGCAGCATCAAGGTGCAGGGACCGAAGAGGAGACCCAACAGTAAGCCCTGGCTCTTGGTGATGTTCAGATGCGGGCGTTTCACTTCATCCGCGTGCACAGCTCTGCTGCTGCTTGTGAGCTGACAACCCCTGTCAGCGAGGCACTAGACCCCACTGAAAGGAGGAGCTGTGTTTCCTTCGGTTGAAGTGCCGTTAAGGTAAAGCCGCAAGAACTCGGGACAGAAAACGCATGTTGAGCACACGCTGCCCTTTCTGTGAGGGTGAACTGAAAGCATGTTTTAATCAGATGAGGAGCATTAACAAAATACTTATCCAGAAGCCATCCAGTACTCTATCCAGGTCTTAAAAATCACTGAGATCATTAACAAATTAGACCGTTGACTTGACTATCAAAAATAAGTTCTGTGCCTTGCTTAAATAGAGCTGCAATAAAGTTTTCAGGAATTAGATGCACTGGGGACAGGAGAGACTGCCTGGGACCTGTGGGTCTGCTTAGAAAAAGAGACTTTGCAGTGTGGTTGGACGGGGGAGCGCTCCCTTCTCCTTCCTTGGAGAACAGGGAGTTGGGAAGGACCCTCTCCAGCCTCCCTGAACTGTGCCTGCAGATCGTCTGAGCTAACGCCTTTCCCCCGGTCAGATGTGAGGGGTACGCCTGGCTCGTTTGCCTTGGGAGAGAAAAACGTTGTTGGGAAAAGCAACAGCGACGTCCTCCCAGTGTGGTGATCTCTTGCCAGATGGGGACGGCTGCAGTGTTGGTGCCGGCCCTGGTGGTGTTGCCACAGTCAGGAAAGTTGTAGCTGGAGTGTAGCTGTTCTTTGTTCAGCAGCCTGGAACGGGGGCTTCAGGGATGTTACCTGTGTTTGGGCTGTGCTTAAACTAGCAGCTTCCTAATGCCACTGTTGCCACCTAAATAGCCCCAGCTCTGCCTCGTTCTTTTCCTTGTTTTAACTACATTTGCCCACAAAATTCTGTATTTCCTCTTGATCTGTTCTCTGATAGCCAAACCACAGGGTTTATATAAGAGAGGTTCCCTGGAAATGGCAGATTCTGGAAGAGCCCTCCGGTCCGCTAGTTGGTTGGTTTTGCAAAGGATGGTTTGGGAACAACCTTGCAAAGAGCTCGGGTGTTTCTGGGGAGCCCTCAAGTAGCACAAACCTCTTGTGTGCTTGTAGCATGGACCCAAGATGCCACCACGGATGCACCAGGTGTGTGAGGACGTGGTATTCACTGCTGCTCCCAGCTTCTTCCCAGGGTGGCTCAGCCCGGCTGTGCTGGTTGTCACAGCCCTGAGGCTGGGGACTGATTTGTCTGTCATCGCTTGTTGGGCCAGAGTTAAACCTGGCAGCTGTCACACTGAAAATACTGTAGCTTTTATGGCTGTAGAAAGGACTTTCCAAAAACTAGCCTAGAACCCTGTTGTGTTCCTGGGTCTGCAGGAAGCCTCCGGGAACAGTGGGAGCAACTCTTTGATGTGAGCCCTGTGGTTAAGTCCTGTCAGTGGGTTTGTACAGGCAGCAAAGGTGAGTATTTTGATGTTGGTCCTCCTGCTCTTTTTGACGGAGAGCTCCTACAGGAGAACAAAGTGTGGTGGAGCCCCGTTAGTGCCGATTCTTCACCTCCCTCTCCTGCTGCAAAGCACTGGCTGCCTGCGGGAGGCAAGGAGGGCACCAGGTACTTCAAGCCAAGGCTGGCGCTGTCAGGATGTGCTGCTGCCACCTCTCTTGCTGGGCCAGGAAAGGCTGGGCCACACCTACCAGGGCCCCTGGCACACTGAGAGACGCTGCGCCCAAGCAGGGTGCCTGGGGCCTACTTCTGTGCCTCACCCCAGGGAGCGTGGGCTGCTTGCTCCTGCTCCTCCGATGCCCTCTTTCCCAGCCCCGATAATATTGGGTCGGTTGAAGTGGCCCCTGGTGCTTGTGCTGTTTTTTTTGGTGTCTTCCTGTCCACGCCCCCCCCTTTTTTTTTTTTTTAATTCCCCCGTCCCAGTGCAACATTCCCGGTGGTTTCGGCAGGGAGCTGTGGAATGTCTCCCGCTCCTGCCGGGGCCCACCTGAACAAGCCGGGCATTGACAAGGAGGGCTCAGCTCAGCCACACACAGACAGGGAGGGCTCTGCTTTGGTCCCTGACCCCACAGTGGGAAGAAATAACTGGAGGGGAATGGTAACATCAATCAGAGCACGGCCCAGCTTTCATCTCCCCAGCATGGTGTGGAGGTGGAGCAGAGGGAAGTTGGGGCTCCTATCCTGCACAGTGCCAGTGCCTCCGG